CACCGGTGGGCTAAAGCAGTGAACTATTTGTCTTTGTCAACGTGACACATTTTTACTGATTGGCCGTGTCGGGTGGTGGAGGGTTACGACACATTTATAAATAAACGCGATCTAAACCCAAAAATCGTTGATTATGTGACAATCTTGTTGGATGGTGGAAGGCATAATGAAAAGAATAAATCTACTACAAGGCTGCCATCTTCCACTCGCATCCACCGCACAAACCATGGCAGCAGATGCAGATACCCGATGCACAAATGGAAAATTAAAAACTCTCCAGGAGCGGTGCGACCGTTGGTCATCCGGAACGACTCGATGTCTGATCCACAAATATACGAAGGAGGAATCGCGGCGACACATCGCACCGCTGCTCCGGGCACGGTCGTCCGTCTGGCTTGACCACCTGAATGTAACGTTGCAGTTGTTGCTCTGCGTCGAAAGAAGAAGATCTGCAAATCTGATCGAAGACAAAGGAGCTGTAACCCTGCGAGGAGAGGGGTGGGGCCTTGCGCCCCCTCGAGGCGGCCAACTACATTAAGGTGGCGGAGGGAATAAACAAAACGAGATTCGCAACTTTCAAGTTTCTTTTGTTTGACCGCCTGCAAACGCAAAGAGAACAGGACGAGTCTCATTTGCAAGAGTCACCTGGACGTTGGACTGGACCTGCTGTCGATGAGAACGCCGGCAAGGCTGCAAAGGTCTCTGTGACCCAAAGAGTAATTTCAAGTTCAACTTTACATCATCCGCATTCTTCAGCATCGACAAACAAATGGCGCACCAAAGGGTTTTGTAAATCTACAGTTAAAGGTGCAGTCCTGCAACCGCTTGCACACGCCACTGCTGTCAGAAGATCCTCCCGCTCGAGATGAGCTCCAGAGAGGGTGTTTGGCCTACTCTTCCACGCCGAAAACAACAAAAACCTAAACCTACAGCACGCGACTGAAATGCTTTAAAACTTGCCCGCAAAGTGCAAGGTGTCACGCACAAACCGAAATCACGGTGATAATTCAGAACGGCTTCCGAGACGCGAGCCCAATCCGGGCAACTTTGTCGTAGGCAGCCGCTTCCAACATCAGTGAGAAAATAATCAACGCACATCACCGATAACATCCTAACCCTAACCCTGGCTGGTCCAGCAACATTCGTTTAACAAGTCTGTTGGTGTACGGTGCTTTTTTTCTGGAATACTTTGCAGTTTTTTCCTGGATTTTTCTGTCTGCGCATAGTCACTTTAAGATGTTTTCTTGTTCATGTTTTTGTTTTTTGTTTGTTGCGGTTGCACCCGATTCAAGAGCCAAATGGCTCACAGGGCTATACCAAATAAATGAAACTGAGACCCAGAGGGTCAAAACTCATTCGGGAGTTTTCTTGCTTCGAACGAATGCTGATGCTCGATGTTTTCGGTACTGAAAACCCCAATGGGCGGGATGACTGAACAAACGTGTTATTCGTACGCGAGAACATAAGAACCGAGGTATGTTTATATTTAGTATTATCCATCATTCTCTCCAACAACCAAAAATGCTAAGCTGAAAACACACAACGTAACTGATATTTGGCCAAACATCCTCATGCTGAAAAATTACCTGCAAATTCTTCAATCAGGATTACAAACGGCAACATCGGCCTATTACCGCCAAACTCATTTGGCAGGCCCCTCCTGAAAATGAGTTTTGAGACTCAATGAGGATTTCCCTGGTAAAACCAGCTTAATGTACGTGTGTGTGTTGAGCTTATTTCGCACAGTACGTAGCCAACCGTGCTCATCAGATGAGTGGGAGATGATAATAACGAGTTTACATCCAATTTAACATGGTCTGTGATGACGTGAGTGGTGGCTCTGGCTGATAACAAAAAATATGTAGGACACAAGTTCCTCAAAGTGAGTCCACGTGGGTGATAATCTTTGGCCAGGCTTATCAGTGCGAGGGAAGCTCCCACCACATCCTGTTTGTGACGCAGCGCCGGGGCCATGCCTACGCAACGCGCGGCTGCGAGGAATGACCGCCGTGCAACTCATCCTTCGGCACTAAGACGTGACGAATAAATCTGAAGGAAATGCCCAGACATCTTGGGATGGCGAGTCGTATGGTTGGTGGGGGGGGGCGAGTGATACGCGCACCGCTACCGTAACCTGCACGATGGTGGGTGGAGACTTCCACTAGGCCTATCGAAATGTTGCGTGCGCAACATTTGCGATGCTGCGGTGAGGAACAGGATAAGCTTAGTGCCCTCCAGTATCTTTCCTCCGCCACGATGAGACTGTGACCTGGAGAGGGGGTTAGCTTCCAAACGCCTCTTTAAATCAGCGGGCGACACTGCTGCCGCTGTTGGCAGTGGTGCGCAATCACAACAACGCTATCCGAAAGAGGAAATTACATATGAAGAAGGGCTGTTGCCCAAAACTTCACCGATAAGGTCTTTTTTGGTCTACGTTACTTGCAGCCTCTATGTGTGTCGTTTAGCACATCACGGTTGAGATGAGATGGTCAACTAAAATAAAAAAACTACATTTTTTTTTACTCAATAAAATTTTTTTATTTTACCAGTAAAGCCCACTGAACCACAATAGGTATTTTTGAGAAGCAACCTGGCCACAAATGATAGCTCAACGAAGTGAATTATCATCGCATGAAAATAAATAGCAGCCAAATACTCTAAACGCGTGATGTTGATTATGAATGTGGAGGGAAAAACAGGAGAATCCCGAGAAAAATTCAAGCGACCACAGGGAGACCATGCAAACTCAAAATATACAGCAGGCGTCAGTGTCGGGATCGAACCCACAACCTCCTGTATACCAGGCGAGGTACCAAGCGCACCGCTTCACAGTGGGCAGTGCGCAGCACACACACACACACACCCATCCACGTTTGTGAAGTGCAACCGGCAGGCACGGTACACGCTGCGTTATCTCTGCCACTTGCGCTACAACGCGCCGCATAGTTCTACACTTGTGAACACTAAGCATTTTATGCGTGGTGCACAGAGACACGCACGCGCACACACACACATACAAGCGCGTGTATTATTTCAAGGCATGCTTGCAATGCGCGCAGTGGAAGGAAGGCGTTACAAAGCTTCTCTGAACGTGTCGTCCACTGTGCGCGCAGACTGCATGTTACGTAAAGATCGACAGCGCTATGGAAACGACGGCAGCAAATAGAAAATGGTCCAAGTTGAACATCGTCATCTAGAGGGTTGATCACACGTGGTAATAGCGGTAGTCAAAAGCATGTATGTTGAACTTCCTTCGCACTGTACGTAAGCCAACTGTGCGAATCGGAGGTGCGGGGGAAGGACAACAAACTATGGGTAGTGTTGAGTCCATGGGCGGTGGTTGAGTCTATGGGCGGTGTTGAGTCTATGGGCGGTGTTGAGTCTATGGGCAGTCTTGAGTCTATGGGCAGTCTTGAATCTATGGGCGGTGTTGAGTCTATGGGCAGTGTTGAGTCTATGGGCAGTGTTGAGTCTATGGGCAGTCTTGAGTCTATGGGCGGTGTTGAGTCTATGGGCGGTGTTGAGTCTATGGGTAGTGTTGAGTATATGGGCAGTGTTGAGTATATGGGCAGTGTTGAGTCTATGGTGCAGTGTTGAGTCTATGGGCGGTCTTGAGTCTATGGGCGGTGTTGAGTCTATGGGCGGTGTTGAGTCTATGGGTAGCGTTGAGTCCATGGGCAGCGTTGAGTCCATGGGCAGTGTTGAGTCTACGGGCAGTGTTGAGTCCATGGGCAGTGTTGAGTCCACGGGCAGTGTTGAGTCTACGGGCAGTGTTGAGTCTATGGGCAATGTTGAGTCTACGGGCAGTGTTGAGTCTACGGGCAGTGTTAAGTCTACGGGCAGTGTTAAGTCTGCGGGCAGTGTTGAGTCCATGGGCAGTGTTGAGTCTACGGGCAGTATTGAGTCCATGGGGGGCAATGTTGAGTCTACGGGCAGTACTATGTCGGTTGTGATATGCCGTCTCCTCCGATCGTAATGCGCAGTTGCAGGTGGGAACTCGTTCGGACACGCGTGGCACGCGAGCGTTGCGAGAAAGGAAATGCCCATCGGTAATTTACTGACGGCTGGCCACTACGTGACGGGGTCGTGCAGAAACAATGCAAGGCAGGAGGCCTCTCGCACGTCACAAAGGAGGGAAGCAGACAAAGGGGCCCCGAGTGATCTGTGGGACGTGCCAGAGGAGGGGTCCCAAGTGACTCACAGGTGCCACGAGGGGTCCACGCAGCGTGCACTGCACGAAGGTTACGATCCACGTCCAAGCCGATTCCACCACAGCCCTTAGACCGATGGAACCCAATGGGTTTTTTTTATAATTTAATTCCCTGCGATTCGTGACGGCACATAGCAAACGTTGTGCCACAGTCGGCTATTTGCCATGTGTTTTGCTTGGAAGGGAAAAGGGGGGTTTGTTTTTGGTAATTTTTCTCCAGTTGAATGGCAATTGCGCTAATCGGCATCAAATCAAGAGACAAAGTACCCATTCGGATCTCACAAAGCAGCGCAAAAACTCTTCAAGTGAGATAACGGCCTGCGAAAGCGGACACCCTAGAGCTGCCTCTGAAATCCCTTCAAGTGACCTCTGGTTCACACAATAGAGAACAGCATCTTCTCACCCCACTCGTCAACAAACTGATATTTTAACTCTCAGAGAGCTGGATTTTTTTTTACTAAAGTAAGAGCAGAACCAATTTTAAGCAATGGATTTTTTGTTGTTGTTGTGCGGTTATTGGCAACCGAGCTATGAACATCACATTCGCTACAGTTGAGAAGCCGGTTTAATCACAGGCACAGCTGCCTGAATTCAAAGCCAGGACCCTTATTTATCGGTGCCAGCTCGACGCTCTTGACCTCTGAGTCACTCGGTAACCTTCGGACCATCACCTTGTGAGAATTCTTATGAACGTACGCATTCACTCGTTCACTTGCTCAAGACCTCGCGCCTTTCATTTTCCCCACCGGCGTCACAGTGGCCACAGCACGCGGGGCGGCTCCGTCGGTACCTGACATCGTGAGCGGGTGGGCGGCGTAGGCCTTCTGCTGGCTGAACGGCGTGCACGCCAGCATCTGCGCCGTCTCCACGGGAACGGGCACCGCCTCCTCGTGGCCCAGCGAGGAGCGCGGTGATGGCAGCTGCAGCTCGGGGTAGCCGGCGCCAGAACCCCGGGAACTGCGCGAGCTGTGGCTCGACAGACTTGAGCGCGGGCTGACCACGGCGTGGAACGGGTGCTGGTACTGTTGCTGCTGGTGCTGCTGCTGGTACTGCTGCTGGTACTGCTGGTGCTGCTGCTGCAGCTGCTGCAGACCCACGTGTCCGGCACCCGCGTGGAGGCCGTGCGGCACGCGGAAGGCGTCGAAGTCGCCCGTGTAGTTGGTGTAGCTCTCGCGCGGGCTGACAGCGTGCGAGTACTGGCTGCCCGTGCTGGAGCGCGGGCTCATCGCGGGGCAACGGTCGTCATAGCCCATGCTGATCCCGCTCGTGCGGTTGCTGCCGCCGACCGTCACCGCAGCAGCCGCGGCCGCCGCGGCCGCGGCAACAGCGGCGGCCGCACCACCCGCCGCTTCCGCGGAGTGACCGATGAGGCTGGCGCGCGGGCTGGCCGGCAGCTCGCCGCCGTAACCCAGGCTGGAACGGGCGCTGCCGGGGGCCGCGCCCGCCGCGTCGTCGCGCTGGCTCGCGTACAGAGAGCCCGGTGCCAGCACGAGGCTGGAGCGCGGGCTGGCGTACTTGTCGAACGGGCCCGTGTAGGAGCCGCGCGGGCTAGGCAGGCCGTGAGGATGATCGGACGGCTGCAGGCCCAGGCTGGAGCGAGGGCTGCCGGCGAGCCGAGGGTCCTGGAGTGACGAGGGGCCGCCCGGCATCGCCATTCCGTTGCCGCCGCCAATGCGCGTGGAAGTGTCGTAGGAGGCGCCCAGACTGGCGCGCTTGCTCTCCTGGGAATACCTGCGGAAGCCAACGCGCGGGTTGACGCGACGACGGTATAAATGGGATATTGGCAGTTGCGCAGGGTTCAAACGGTGCAAAAAACAAATACGCGCTTAAGAATGAGCCGTATTGATGAGTTTCGTAATGCTAAGGATACGTTTTAATGAGTGAAATCTCACGTGGACAGCACTGGCATCGCGGGACGCTTGTGAACTACTTACGGGGATAGAAAACGCCCAAACTTTTCTCAGACCCTGATGGTTTTAATATGTTTGTTTTCTGCCTAAGGTACCTGCAGACTCTACTTGTCTCGGAGCATTACGGTTGAGATGAGACGGTTTTGTTCGCAAGCGCTGCGAGTCTAGCGCACAGCAGAGCACGCTCCACCGAGGCCACCGCTCACAATGGGCAACACGCAGCACACACGTGCATCCACGTTTGTGAAGCGCAACGCGTGTGGCAGGCACGGTACACGCTGCGTTATCTCTGCCACCTGCGCTACGCACGCGCCGCATAGTTCTACACAGTGCACTTTTAAATCTAGATTGAAAAATGTTGAAAACTCATTTCTTTAGAACTGCTTTTTGTGTTTAGTTTGTTGTCCTTCCCTCGCACCTCTGATTAGCACGGCTGGCTATGTACGGTGCGAAAGAAGTTCAACATACATACACACACTTGTGAATTCTGTACATTCGCCCAAACAAAACATAGGTATGTTCACATTTAAAAAATGCTCCTTTGTACAGAATGTACGATATGTTAACAATAGCGGTGTCTTTTAAACAACAATTTTCAAGAGGAGTGGAGGATTTTAACTCACGAGTTAAAGCCACCGTTTACAGGAAGTTGTAAACCAAAACGACTATCTAGGCCAGGGGTCGGCAACCAAAATAACAAGAAGAGCCATTTCTTTCCAATTTGGTACAAAATTCAGTATTTCAAGAGCCGCAATGCATCTGAGTACATACGTACATATCGTCAAGAAGCAGCCCGTAAAGAGCCGCATGCGGCTCCGGAGCCGTAGGTTGCCGACCCCTGATCTAGGCATTTCTTTGCAGCAATTGAAATGGACATTACCAGCATGAGGTGGGTGGTTGCCAATGTTCAAACAGGTTCTGTCAATGGCTAAAGCACAATTCTTAAATCTTCTCATTTCAGTTTCACCTTTCAAGGGTGGTAATGACACCAAATCACAAATGGACGTCTCAACTGGCCAGACACTGTGCAGTTTGCCTGCAGTTGAGCAAGACCCTCCAAGCTGCAATCAAACCTTCTGCTGGAGGGCCATCGATTCACGCAAAGCAGTGGCCGGGATTAAACCCAGGTTCTCAGAGCTGTTTACTCAGTCGCTGCCGGAGGGAGTGCAAGCCATAAGCTTCCCTTTCAAACGCCAATGCCTCACGAAATGGACAAAACCCATTTTTGGCTTCGAAGAGGCGCTCCGTCGCAACAAAGTAGAACGTGAACAATGGCGACGTTTCCTGTTATTACTGCTTAAAGTATTCTCCGTAAAATGGATTACTGTTAATAAAAAAAACAACCGTGCCATACCGCAATTTTGCAATGTATATAAAAAAAACTTAAAACACAATCGCAAATACTACCTCGCCTGGTATGGAGGAGGTCGTGGGTTCGATCCTGACCCTGATGCCTGCTGTGTATTTAGAGTCTGTGTGTCTCTCTCTCCCCGTGGTCCCGTGGCTTTTTCTCTGGGTCCTTCGGTTTTTCCCTCCACATTTAGAAACAACATGCGTTTAGAGTAATTTGGCTGCTATAAAGGTCCACATGGTGATCAGCCACTTCGTTGTGTTATCATTTGTGGCGAGGTTGCTTCTGAATAAAGAGCTTCATAGCTAAGCGAGCCTTCCTTGGTTTAATAAAAAATTTCGATTTAAAGCTTTCGCGACTGCAGGAATTCATCTTCTTGGTTCTTTCGGTAAAGTCACGTAGAAGGGAAAAAATAAAATAATAAAAATAAAACATAATAAAATAATTCTCACGACGTTTCTGCCACAACGCAAGCATCCGTCCTCAGGTGAAGAACAGGTCTGTCGGAAAGACAGCGTCAGACCTGTTCTTCACCTGAGGATGGCTGCTTGCGTTGTGGCCGAAACGTCGTGAGAATTATTTTATTATGTTATATTTATTTTATTATGTCCCTTCTACGTGACTTTACCGAAAGAACCAAGAAGATAATAAAAAAATGTAAAGTTTTATAGCTTCTAACGCTCAAGACTTTGACGACGTACTCTAGATTCCAGCGCGAAGCAAGCACCGCGAGAGTCGTGGGCCACGCTGGCTAACCCCTCGGCTCGCACGGATTTTGCTTTCACCTGGATTAACCCGACGCGGCCAGGTGTCTTGCCACTGAAGCGCGCTTTCCGTCCCTTCATTCACGTGTCAAAAAATCGAAAAACCGCAAAAACGCCGCCGAGCGCGCGGTAACCTTCATGCGGCGCGCTCCGTCAACTAGCACCAGTGAGAGATACCGCCGCGTGTATAGCTGCTGGCACAGAATGCGACGGATAAGCCGGCACCTGCACCGCGATTCGGGACCGGCCGTCGTGAAGCAGTTACATTACGTACGTAACGTTGAACTTCTTTCGCACCGTCACGTAGCCAATCGGAGGTGAGAGGGGGAAGGTGAAAAGTAGGATGCGAGGGGGGTAGGTGCTGTTAAATATCTAGGTGCCCTGTTTCCCCCTCCGAAACTTTGGTTGCAATCTCATTCGGGTGAGCATCGACTCGTACAAACCGGAGGTGCATGTCCAGTATGTTGAACTTTTTTCGCACCGTAAGTGGCCAACCATGCAAATCACAGGTGTGGGGGCAGGACAACAAGCTATGGGTCTCTGCGCGAGCCTATGGGTCTCTGCGCGAGTCTATGGGTCTCTGCGTGAGCCTATGGGTCTCTGCATGAGTCTATGGGTCTCTGCGCGAGTCTATGGGTCTCTGCGTGAGTCTATGGGCATCGCTATGCGTTTTCAGGTCATGCCACGCAGTCTTTGGCGGAGCAATGTCCTCCTCCTGCGACGTTGAGCGCCTCACGAATTCGGTCGCGGAAGAAGCAACCCCGGGCACGCGGACCGAAACGTCGGACGTCGTACCGGACGACTCGCGGTAAAATGTGGGAACGCACCGGAGGGTTATCGCACGGTACAACCACAGATGCCTCCACAGTAGCATCACACCGAGGTCACTCGCAAAGTTCCCTCAACTTCTTTGCCTCCTCACTTTAATAGCATTTTTTCTCTCCGGCTGCAACGCAGTTAGGATGCAATGCGCACGCCAAGATTTCTATTAGAAACTATGACAACTATTTAACTATTTTTTTTATTTTACGAGGTCAAGTCCACTGAGCTACACAGCTCTTTTTTAGACGCGACCTGGCCACAAACGATAGCTCAACGAAGTGGCTCATCATCGCGTGGAAATGTAAAGCAGGCAAACACTTCAAATGCATGTTTCTAAATGTGAAGGGAACAGCCGGAGGACCCGGAAAAAAAAATCCACACGACCATGGGGAGAACATGCAAACTCAAAAAATACAGGCAGGTGTCAGGGTTGGCATCGAATGCACGACCTCCTGCATACCAGGCGAGGGAGTAAAGTGAGACAACCGATTTGTGTAACTCCAGTTCCCTGACCACCTACACCGGATACACCCTCGCCACCTCAGACCCTCTCCATTCCCGCTGCACTTTAAAGGCTCCACCCATCCGCAAATTATGCTCACTTTTACCATGACGGTAAAAAATAATGTTTATACAACTTCTCCAGCTGTCTGCATTACCGCATATCTTGCATCGCCGTTAATCGACAATCGACCGCGGCGCGACACGGTCGCCGCTCGACACAGCGCAGCTGCACCGGCCGCCTGCTTTGCCAAATTTACGGAGGCACCGCAGAAAATGACTGGGGGTTGGCGGGGGGTGGAGCGTGACGGCAGCTAAGGTTAGGTCAAAGGTGTCGCGACTATCAGCGACGTGCAGCATTTACAACACTCGCCGTAGCCAGGCTATCGCTTCGGCAGCAAACTCGGCACACGTGCCCGCTCGACGCGTTATCGCAACGCAAAACGTGCCAGCCGCTTTTGCAGCGCCTGACAAGGGAGGGGGGGGCCGGCCCTCGGCGCCATCCGTAGTCGCGACGTTTCCTAAAGCACTGGCCATCCCTTCAGAATGAGAAAATGTCCATTTGTGCTGGAGGAATCCGACGTGCTACAAGAAGCTATATTTTTTTTGAAATGTCCAGTATCATCACAACGGTCGCATTGCCATGATGAGAATATTTTAGAATCGGATGCTTTCGTTAGACTGGAGGAGGAATCCGATTAGCTGCAAAGCTCTTTTTCACAGAAAATCTGGCTGTGACGGTCCCACTCTTTTTCACAGTTGTCCAGTAGGGGCACGGGGTCAGAATGTTACAACAACAAACGATACAAAAACACGATAGGAGTGCAAAGTATAGGAAAGGTCAACAAAATCACTTTAAAAAAATAAAAATAAACTATTATTTATCTCATCAGGTAAAGCCACTGAGCGATCAACTTATTTTTCAGAAACTACCTCGCCACAAGCAATAGCTCGAAAAAAGTGGCTTGTTACGTGGAAATTTATAGCAGCAAAAATAATCGAAATAATCCAAACACATCACTCCTCACAAAAGCAGGTGCGCCCCATGGCGAACGCGATCGCAGCAGTGGTCACGAGCGACGGTCGAATGCCAGCAGATTTATTATAAAAGCAGATGGTGTAAGCTCTCTACAAAGTAAACGCTACTTTGATCCGAATGCAAATATTTTTGGAGAGAGATAAAAATCTGAAGCGTATTTCAGTAAAATGGTGAGACATATGATTGTGAAACTGAATTAAATGCTTATGCTCGTGTTAAAACTTGTTAAACAATTACTTCAGAAGATTATTGTTGACAAAATTCTACAACTATAAACAACCTTTTCTATTTACGACAATTATACGGTGTAAAGTTGAACGCAAATGACCAGTAACGTGACATGC